AGCTAGACAGAGATTTCAGCAAATCATTACCAAGCCACCTTTTACATTTGTATTAAGTAGAAATGTTTACCTACAAAGTGGGACCCTGGATCCTACACATCATCATCAGGTGCCTTGCCGACTGGCCTGGGCGATCATGCCTCTCCATAATCTACGATCTCTTGCAGCATGTATCAGTTCGTGTGCCGACACACCTCCACGCCATGCAAAAAGACTGTCACAAATATTCTCTCGTTGTCTTCCTCTATCCCTCCTTTTCCAGATTTTTCCAGTGGTTACAACATGTTCTATTTTCCCTCTTCTCATAACATGGCCGAAAAATGATGACTGTTTCCTTCTGATGTCTGTGATAAGTTGTCTTTGGGCTCCCGCCTCTTTTAAAACCTCTTGGTTGCTCTTTTCGGGAACCTACACAGAGACCTAAAAAATATAGGTAACCATTCGTCCTCAATTTTCTGGAACAGTTTGGGAATCAGATCGTTTTCCGGGTTATTTTTAAGAGCTCATTATGCTCTCTAATGATTTTTTCGAAAACATCCAAGGGAAAAATAGTCACTTTAGTCTAAAACTGTGCAAAGAGGCTTTCTGTTTCTTCCCCTTTGCCGGAATTCCATGGAAGCTGAAATAGCACGGAAATGTGACGTCATAAACAATGTTTGTATATACACAAATGTGAAACTTTTCTGCAGTCTCATCTTGCATGTTTTCCGGGAGGTCACCACGGCTTGATTGTAAGTTAGTTAGTTAGTTAGTTAGTTAGTTGGGTTATCATCATTGCACTCCGGACATGTCCATAGGTGCTCAGATCCTCCCCTCAGTATGAATCCCAACGTCCGATGGCTAATAGTACCAGTTCTATGTTGATTAACAAATCTTCTGACGTGTCCGGTGTGCGTCTCGTTTTTTGCTGTGCCGATCTTAATTCCCAAGTCTGCCATTCTGGCGAGTGATGTGGATTCACTGCCACCAAAGTCCTCTATCCTTCCCATTTCTCTGAGGGCATTGATAATATCAGCATGATCCATAGGCCGACCGTCAGTAGTGATAGCGGATCCAGCCAGCCTGTCAGCTCTTTCATTTCCATCGACGCCTGCGTGTCCCGGAACAAAAATAAAGGTGACTCCTCGCACAGTGGACTTCTGAATTGATTCAAGCCATTGTCTTCGCACTGAACCTGCCTGAACCCTCCGGATCATACTCATTGAATCACTGAGTATACATATGCGGGTGTATTTTTGTGTTTCAAGCCAGGCAAACGCTTGCGTCACTGCCATCACCTCCATCGTCATGCTGCTGGTTGTCATGGAGAAGGCGCCGTTGGCTTCTTTGACTGTTCTGCCCGCTGAGCGTGCTGTAAATGCCCATGCGCTTCTTCTTTGGCGTATAACGGATCCGTCTGTATAGATTAGTAAGTTAATGTCTATGAAAGCATGATTATACAGCACAACATCTGACTCCCTATGGTTCTCGCCAATTAGTTGTTTTATTTTAAAATCACACTGCTCCATTTTCTGACCTTCAAATTCAGCTGCGACTTGCTGCAGTCCACGGGCGGTGTTTGAAATCGGGCGATTCCTGGGGTTCACCCAGCCTCCAGGAAATGCATACTCGGGATAACACTCTTGGGTAAATGGAGGAACGTCGCTGTAGCTACGGAGTTGCGTGCGGACGGCGACACAGGCGGACAGTTTCATTTCAACTGTCCGTACTTGTGGCAGAGCGCTTATGGTTTATAACTGTGTGCAATAACATTGGTTAACATCTCGCGTGAGACTTGGGACATCAGCTCTAACAATCCTGTTGTCAAGAGAACACCGCAGAACAGACGCCTTTTCCGGGTAGACAACAGCCCTCATTTCTGTAAATGAAAAAGTAAAGAACCGTTTTCACACAACTGCTGTATCGTGCTTAGTGCATATAATACTGTATCAGGTATTTTTCAGGCAGTAGTTGAGTCCAGTTGATTCCAGAACCCATATCTCATCACTCGGAGCATTTCCATAAGGGCTCCGTCCCCACATTCAAAAGCCAGCGAAGAGTTCCAATACCACTGGTGCCACTAGAAGTCTGATTAGATGTGCTTGCTTTCCGTCTGATCGTCAAGTGTCGGCCTGAATCCATCGTCACTTCTCACTAGACTGTGATGATCCATGCAGTAGTAGAAATAAAGAGTTACCAACTATATATTTGAGGATTACGTGAAGTTATATGGGTGGCAGCAGATACAAAAGTTAGTAAGGAGCTAACCCTCCTATATTCAGCGAGAGAAGGTGAAAAACATGTGGGAGGAGTAGGTATTATGTTGACATTCAAAGCTGCATTCTCTGTCTCCTAGAATGGGAACTTGTCTCAAGCAGAATAATTAGGGCTCGATTTAATTCTAGACATATTAAAATTACCAACATTCGGTGTTTTACCCCAACGAAATGATGCCAAATCTTAGGATAAAGATATATTTTAATGACAAACTGCAGCATGAAGTACATAAAATTGGTAAACACGACTGTGTAGTGGTAGTGGGAGATTTTAGTAGAACAGTAGACAGTGAAAATGGGTGTTAAGAGAGCTATAGAAATGGAACAAGTTAACACAATAAATGAAAAATTAGAGCGACTAGCTGAATTCTGCATGCAGTTACATCTAATCATTGGCGGCACTATATTTCCACATAAGAGAATTCATAAATTAACTAGTATTCACCAGATAGTATGACTAAAAATCAGATCGACTACCTCTGTATAAAAAAACAAATATAGAACCTCACTGATGGACGTCCGATCATACAGAGGAGCAGACGTGGCCAGCGACCACATCTTATTGTGGGAAAACTAAAGCTGAAATTAAAACAGCTGCACAAAAGCAGGTGCAACAAATAAAAGATAGTAAAAGCCTTCGAGATAAAAACAAAATGACCCCCCCCCCCCCCCCTACACACACAGGTTAGGTAACAGTACCTTATCAAGGCAGCAGATGACGTGACCATATGCCGAATAAAAGATTTGTTTATTAGAAAATATGCAGAGGCAAAAATCCCTAACCAATGAAAGAAAGGAATAATTTTTACAATTCCAAAGAGAGGTGATTTTACTGTCTATAACATCTGGAAAGGAATTACTCTATTAGTCGTGTCCAAGGCCAACAGAGAATCACAGAACAGGCACTGAAATGGAAAACAGATGGATTGGTGAAACAAGGACGTTCAAGAGAAACTCTAAGCCGAACGTTGATGAGAAAGGCCAAAGATGCTAAGCTGGATTTCATCCATGATTTCGAGGTGACTGCACATGATAGAATGAACCGGAGAAACAGACTGAGAAGCCTTTGTGGCACATAATGATAATAGGCTGAGTGTACTGTTTTTATTCACAGTAGTTGGCTATTGCATTTTCCCTTATATATCGACTGAAAGGATATAATTTTGTCGCCCAGGCACTGAGCTGATTGCATGGTGTGATACTGTGAGCTGCAGATGTCATTTGGAATGATTTTTTTTTACTGTGACCAACCTGGTTTGTGTTAACAGTAGATTCAGAAAATGACGAGTGGCTTGTAGCCACAGAATAAAGTAGTAGTGCCTTAATCGAGTGTGTAACTACTGATATGTTGTAACTGCTTCTTCCATCGGACTGTTTGTATTAGCACTTCTGACAGCTGCCTTATGCATTTAAAGCGCGTGTGTGCTAATGGATATGCCGAGGCTGCAGTTTGTGTCAATGTTTTTTTTTTTTTTTGTAAGCGACAGTGATGAACATTCTATATGATTTTCGTTGACCCAGGAACGGAGCAACTGTGGGGTGACCTGTTTGCTTTCGTTGACTCAGGGGCGGAGCAACTATGGGGTGACCTGTTTGCTTTCGTTGACCCAGGAGCGGAGCAATATGGGGTGACCTGTTTGCTTTCGTTGACTCAGGAGCGGAGCAATATGGGGTGACCTGTTTGCTTTCGTTGACTCAGGAGCGGAGCAATATGGGGTGACCTGTTTGCTATGAAGTTAAAACTGCGTTTGTCTGATTACCTGTCAGTGGTACAACAGGACAATGAATGAGTAAATGAATATTTTGTATAGTCCCGTAGGCAGGATGGGTAGTTGATCAACATCACACTGGTTGCTTTTACTTCCCAGGACATTACCTGGCAGAGAGTTCAGACTGGGTCGACTTAAGAGCCGGGGTTATTTATTTAAAAAAAATCAATTTCAAACCCAAGACATTCGAGTTGGAGGCAGGCAAGTGTTTAAGCATTTGTGCTGCCTTGAAATATGACCCCCCCTCCCCACCCCACCGCCATATTTTGCTTTTAAAATTTAGGGATCCCCCTTTCCCCGTTTTTTGCACAGAAAAGTCGTAAAGTGAGAGGGTTGCACTGAACCCTACCAATGTTTTCGTAGTAGCGGCGCGCTTGCTTCTAGTGTGGTTTTCAGATCCTCATTTTTTAGAGGCAGGGGTGGGGGGAAGACCCACCCACCCTTAACATGGAAGTTGTAAAGGATTTTTTATAATCCAAAAAGTTGGGCCGAAAAGCTCAGATATCGCAGCCTAGCTATAAACCAATACACAGCTTGCCAACCGCCCTTTCAGATGAAGAGGAGGGAAACAATTACAATATTCAACAGGAAATAATGAGTCACTGCCATTTTAAGGACGAACGAAAAGGGGGGAAAGAAACGCCAATTAAAATATGTCAACAGGAAAGAATGTGTGTGAGGTTAGCAGAACTATACCAGCCAGTTAGGATAAGATAATATTTCTTTGCGTCACTTGACGCTGTCTCTTGCTCCTCGACCTACAGCCCCTCGACGAACTCCGCTTGCCCAAGCCTATATACACCTACACTGCATGCCCTGCACACCTGCACAGAACGTCCTCGGCTGTGCGAGGTGAAACAAGGCGAGGCTGTCTGCGGCAGAAAACCGCCAGTCAAGGCAGTGTTGCTGCATTTAAACTGAACTCGGCGTCAAGCATCGGAACAGAGTACGTCTTCAGACTGTGATATTTGTTGAAATGACTATTCAGGTGTGTATCTGTTCTGTACTATTGTTCGATTATTTGTGGTTGAATACATCAGTGTGAATATTCACAATCTATAAGTTAACTATTATAATAGATATGTTGTTTAGTTAATGATTGAATTATAAAACTTATTATAAGTTTCTTTGTATAGAAAGAAATACATTAGAATACTGCTACTGCTGCTACTAATACTAGTTTTACTACTGCTGCTGCTGCTACTGACAGCAATGATGTTGCCAAGTTATGTAGTAGACTGAGGGAAACACTTTCTGCATCCCCCCCCCTTCCATACCCATATATATAGTAAAAACAGTTTGCAATTTTGATAGAGCTACCACACCCCCGACCCACCCCTACCCACCCAATGACACCCGGGGCGGCCCGAATCTCCTTCCTACACTGCTGATTGCATCAGCTCTAACAACTCTTAGTGCCGCTAGACTATTGATGTGATAATTATTATTAATTACACGTTATAATATAATTTATATAATGTCTCTGTTGCAATGAATAGGGCACTAGAACAGGAAATAACTACATGTGAAATACGCTGTCTCCGCAAGGTCTCTAACAACACGAAAAGAAACAGGGTTACGAATACCAGAGTCAAAGTCGGAATAAGACCATGTCTAGGTTATATTAAAAGACGAAGATGAAATTGTTCAGCCATCTAGTGAGAATGCAGCCAGACCAAACTAAATATGAGACTTCTTTACACAGCAGAACATCTGGCAAGAAGGCGAGGGGAAGACCGAGAAAGAGATGCATAAATGGTGTAGCTAAAACCTGCAAAAAGCTGGACAAAATCCATCACCTTAGCCACCCGAGAAGCGCATGACAAATACAGAAAAAAATTGAGCTGTAACCTGGTATCAGGCAGACGACAAAAAAAAAAAAAAAAGAAAGAAAAAGAATGTCTATTTCGTCAGAAAGACAAAGTAATGAATGGAGGCACTGAAATGAATTTGCCGTTTTAGCTTATATAAGACAACTGTTAATTGCTATAATAAAATTGAGAATAAACGACGACTTGTCAAGAATCTGTCTCCAGATAGTTAACTATTATGCCCGTGTGGGTTCCAGGGGCCCATTGTGGGGGAGAGACAAGAGTAGACCCGCTGTGTCCCTAACAAGCATGCGTAAGAGTCGACTAACTAGAGGTTTCCTTCCAAGTCAGAGTGCATCTGCCTGAGATGCAAGGAACCAGCAGTCTGCATAGAAAAAAGCCAGAACTTAGAAAACTGATGCCCCAAGTTCTGGAACAAGACCAAAGTCCAGAAGTGGAAAATAACCAGAACTTTCTGACGGAGTTAATTGCCAGTGAACACGAAGAGGAAAAAGAAGTTTCACACGGTTTCAAAGATGGTTAGTTGTTAACAAAGGGTTTGAAGTAGGACCTCAGAGATATAGTTCAGAATCGAGGTTTCAATCCGAAGTGTTAGAAATTGACTAGCAGTTCATTTCCACCCTAAATTAACCTAGCTAGTTTAAATAAAGCAGTCGCTATTCATGTTTGAAAAGTGCTGTATCATTGAATGTCCGCTCCCCCATGGCCAGCTCCAGAGTTTACAGCCAGTGTTCGCGAAGCAAAAGCCAGTTTACACAAATTAACACAGACCGTTCAACTGCAAATATGCAAAAGAAGTGGATGAACTACCAGAAGTTTCCGCAAGAGTTTACAGCCAGTGTTCGCGAAGCATAAGTCAAATGGTTAAGGATTAATATTATTAGTGTACTGCTACAACATATAATTATACTGTTAGTCAACAATTAGTAAAGAGGCAAAGAGTGACTTGCTGTGAGAGGTTAGTTAGTAAATTAAATATTATTTTCATCCACTTACCTAGAGCTCCGAAATGTCTTGACACAATTTATCCACATTGTGGTTGCATCATTTATGCACAGTCAATATGAAAGCAATAGTTTTCTTCAAACACAAGATAGTTTGCACCTGACAACTGTCGATATTCTCCAGATATGGCTTCTAAATTACCTGTTTGTATTATCCCTAAAAGTAGGATTTCTACATTTAAAGTAGAAAAGTAATAAACAGACAGTTCCCAAAAATCCGAACTACTGACTAGAAACAGTGACACTGACACACACATCACAACACGACTGTCTTCCGTGAATTAAAATTAAAATTGCTGTATATCCACTTCACAATATCCATTTGTAGATTTGTATTACGAATACGTTTAGAACACAGGGCTTTGTAAGCATATTAATATGTCACACAATGCAACCTGGAAACGCTCCCAGTAACCTATTTTCGAGTGGGACTACTCCAAAATGTACCGTGACTCAGTTGTCAGGACTGAATATGCAGCCGGACGTGGTCTGTGCTAATGGTGACAAAAGCTTTGCAACCTTGCTGAGGTCACAGCTGAATTTTACACATTTAAAAATAGAGGTTGTGTAACACAGACGTGTCGGAGCGTTTAGGTGGAACATCTAGCTGGGTGTATAAAGCTGTCAACAAGCAAGGGCGCAGCTACACTGGGGGGAGGGGGTGTGTAGGCATACTGGGCTCCACCCCCACCTTTTTTTAATAAAAGGACTAAGCTACCCCCCCCTCCCCCCCACCCCCCCCCCCATCATAAATAGGGGTTCTATTTTTAAGTTTCTGTTTATATACGTTATATAAAGTTTTTTTTTTTTTTTTTGTCATTCTTTCTTTCTTTCTTGCATCACTTGAAAGATAAATTGCATAAAATATAATTTAAAAAAAAAAAAAAAAACTTTCTCCTCCAGCATTACATTTTTTAGGATTAACATTTCAAAAATGTGGATCCGACAGCTACACATTCCGAATACCTGTTCAACCATTATACAGCCATACAAGTAAGGCAAACATTAAAGGACCCTTCTCCGCACCTTTAGTCGTACAGGCTATAGGCTAGACCAACATTTCAAAGTCCAATCGGCAGTTGATGCTTGATGTGATATGCATCATGCCGGGCACCTTTACCTCCCAGGATTTTTACATGGTACCTATTTAAGGCTTGGTCGACCTGGGAGTCAAGGCCATTTTTTTAAAAGCCCTGCGTCGTTTGGATTCGCACGCGAGCTTTCATCTGCTACGCCACGGCAGCTTCCTTATAGTCACCCACACAGCACAGTTGTATTGAGGCACCACAAAAGGGTTATGGAGCAGTAGCCTATTGTCCAGTGTGGCTGGGTTGATGTATGTTAAATAAAGAATATTCTTCATCCCGTGAAACGCTTTTGCTGGAGCTATCCTACATCCTACATACCGTGTACTAGATTCATCGAGAAACAGCTTTTTAAAAGGAGTAGAAAATTATAGGGAAGAGATAAAGTTTGTAAGAAACAACAAATAGTTTATGTTAGCTTTACAAAATCGATCACAATAAACAAACAAAGGACGTTGCGGCGATTAGCCTTCATCAGCACATAAAGAACAATACAGAACACATACACAAATATGCTCTAACTATGAAGTGACTACATGGGACTAATGTACACAATAAATGATACTCATCTGTGTTCCTGGCGAAAAACTACCTTCAAAAATCGAGAAACAGCAGATTAAGTGGTTTGGCCATCTTGTTAGAATGCCGCAAGATCAAATACCATCACAAGCACTACATCTCAGAAGATCAGCTACAAGAGCAAGAAGACGGCCACGGAAAACATGGATCGACATTAAAGACACTCTACGCCTTCACGGCATGACAATAACCAGTGGCAGCCGACGTGCACTGGATCGCAAATTATTCCTCCCCACACAGCTTAACGGCAGAAGTGGTTTATGATGATGATGATCCTCCATTTAACTTCTCTAAAACATCTTCTGTCTGATGTTATCAGTGTACATAAGTATGTATAACAGTATCAGATTAACCAGTTATTCTTGCCAGGTAGGAGACAGCATCCCGTCGGTGACACTGTATGAGCGCACACCAGACAACAAGGTGAACACAAATGAATTTTGCAAAGGAAGGGTGATAATGTTTGGTCTGCCTGGTGCTTTCACCCCTACCTGCTCAAAAGTGAGTACTGGTGGTGTCTTTAGTATATATTTCTGGGTCTTCGCCATATGTTTGTATCTTCAGTATATGTTTCTGTGTTTTCACTGTATGTTTTATGCCTATAATATACATTTCTATGGCTTCAGTACGTCCCTGTTTCTTCTCTGCGTTTCTGAGTCTTCACTGTATGGTTCGGAGTCTTCACTACATTTGACTGTGTCTCTACTATACGTTTTTACGGCTTCAATATACATTTTGGTGTCTTCACTATAAGTTTCTGTAGCTTCAGTATATATTTCTGTGGCTTCACTATATGTTTATGTGGTTTCAATATATATTTCTCCGCCTTCATTATATGTTTCATTGCTCATTTTATGTTTCTTTGCCATTACTGAATGTTTCTGTCTTCACTATATGTTTCAGTGTTCACTTTGTGTGGTTTTTTTTTTTTTTTTGGTCATTACTAAATGTTTATGTGTATCCACTGTATGTTTCAGTGTTTTCACTATAAGTGTCTATGTCGCCATACACATTTTTGACCTCATTACATACTTCCATATCTCCTGTACATATTTTTGTGTCTCCACTATATGCTTCTATGTCTCCACGACAACTTTCTGTTTCTTTAGTTTATGTTTTTGTGTTTCCTCTACATGTTTTTGTGTTCCCCTATATGTTTTTGTGTTTCCTCTACATGTTTTTGTGTTTCCTCTACATGTTTTTGTGTTCCCCTACATGTTTTTGTGTTCCCCTACATGTTTTTGTGCCTCCCCTACATGGTTTTGTGTTTCCTATACATGTTTTTGTGTTTCCTCTACATGTTTTTGTGCCTCCCCTACATGGTTTTGTGTTTCCCCTACATGTTTTTGTGTTTCCTCTACATGTTTTTGTGTTCCCCTACATGTTTTTGTGCCTCCCCTACATGGTTTTGTTTTTCCTCTACATGTTTTTGTGTTTCATCTACATGTTTTTGTGTTCCCCTACATGTTTTTGTGTTTCCTCTACATGTTTTTGTGTTCCCCTACATGTTTTTGTGTTTCCTCTATTTGTTTTTGTGTTTCCTCTACATGTTTTTGTGTTTCCTCTACATGTTTTTGTGTTTCCTCTACATGTTTTTGTGTTTCCTCTACATGTTTTTGCGCCTCCCCTACATGTTTTTGTGTCTCCTCTACATGTTTTTGCGCCTCTTCTACATGTTTTTGTGTCTCCCCTACATGTTTTTTGTGCCTCCCCTACATGTTTTTGTGTCTCCTCTACATGTTTTTGTGCCTCCCCTACATGTTTTTGTGTTTCCTCTACATGTTTTTGCGCCTCCCCTACATGTTTTTGTGTTCCCCTACATGTTTTTGTGTTTCCTCTACATGTTTTTGTGTTTCCTCTACATGTTTTTGTGTTCCTGTCGTATGACAGTTTTGTCGCGCACCTTACTTACAGGATATTTTCACAAATCCCTCAGGTGCTCTGAGACAGGAGAGTTTTGAATGGTGGCTCTCGTTCGTCTAGAGGCCTAACCCTCGGTTCAAACTTTCCATTCAACCTGTCTCAGGGATGAGGTGACACGAGCTCTGACTCCACAGGGTTTTTATGAACACTTGGGTACCTCTCGGCCAGACGTCCTCACCACTAATTGCCCCCAGACTGGAAAAAAAACAAGTCCAGTCGAACAAATAATCAACAGCGAATTTGACAAGACAACCCTGCCTCTCTGAATAAGACAATAAAATTCAGTAACACGAAACTTTTCTATCAACTAGTAGACTACTGAATTTCATCACGATTGTAATTAATTTACTATAACAAAGTTAAGGGAAACCGTAGCGAAGAAATAAAAAGAACGATCACAACTTTAAAAATCTAACACAAGAGAAAGAATTCCTCTAAATAGACCTATACACTATCATGTTCATCACGGCGAAGGAGAAAACATGACCATGAAGGCACATTTGGAGACGAGTTATCTTAGTCTGCCACGTCACTTATCTGATCAGATCTCGTAGCTCCTCAGCGTCTCAGAGTGGAGTAATACGCCACCGTACTTTACTGCACGGTTACACAGGAATGAATCAGCTTCTCCGGATGCCGAAAAGGAAACTCTCTCTGCCGTACTTCCCAGTACGACCACACATGAACGAATCAGCTTCTAGTATTAATCAAGGACTGTCGCCTCACTTCACCGGAACGAATCAGCTTCAGGTGCGGATCCAGGAAGCTCAAGTCACTATTGAGGGACTCCGGCACTCGTGTCGTCCGCACATTCAACACCGTAATTCAGCATACGTAAAACGTTTACTGGGTCGTGGCAGTTGGAACCACACTATCAAACGTAGACACTTGTTGGATCTTCAGAAAATCCCATTGTAAATAAAAAAAGAGAACAAGGAATCTTGTCTGTATAACGGTCAATTGGCGAGACACAAGGAAAAACGCCTGCCTCCAAGACCGGACTGTAGAGAGTGACGCACACAAACACGTCCCCTAACAACAGCAGTTAGCGTACGAATCGCGCTCACTAATGCAGTGCAGTGGTCAGACAATTTATTTAGAATAGGCGTAGAAAAGGCGTCCTAACATTCAATTCGACACTCAAAGCCTAAAAGAGTCATTATCAAAGGGTTTTATATGGATTTTTCCTATCAGGACTCCCCCACAACAAACGAACCATCTAACTATGCTTGGCCTATTCTATTACATAGTTACGATGACGAGTTTAGGGTGGTCAGCTATATGGACCTTCCTGCTGTGGCAGATGTGTGGATGCTGTCATGCGACAGAGCTCCCCTACATGTTTTTGTGTTTCCTCTACATGTTTTTGTGTTTCCCTACATGTTTTTGTGTTTCCTCTACATGTTTTTGTGTTTCCTCTACATGTTTTTGTGTTTTCTCTACATGTTTTTGTGTTTCCTCTACATGTTTTTGTGTTTCCTCTACATGTTTTTGTGTTTTCTCTACATGTTTTTGTGTTTCCTCTACATGTTTTTGTGTTTCCTCTACATGTTTTTGTGTTTTCTCTACATGTTTTTGTGTTTCCTCTACATGTTTTTGTGTTTCCTCTACATGTTTTTGTGTTTTCTCTACATGTTTTTGTGTTTCCTCTACATGTTTTTGTGTTTCCTCTACATGTTTTTGTGTTTCCTCTACATGTTTTTGTGTTTCCTACATGTTTTTGTGTTTCCTCTACATGTTTTTGTGTTTCCCCTACATGTTTTTGTGTTTCCTCTACATGTTTTTGTGTCTCCTCTACATGTTTTTGTGCCTCATCTACATGTTATTGTGTTTCCTCTACATGTTTTTGTGTTCTCCTACATGTTTTTGTGTTTCCTCTACATGTTTTTGTGTTTCCCCTACATGTTTTTGTGTCTCCTCTACATGTTTTTGTGTTCTCCTACATGTTTTTGTGTCTCCTCTACATGTTTTTGTGTCTACTCAACATGTTTCTGTGTTTCCTCTACATGTTTTTGTGTTCTCCTACATGTTTTTGTGTTTCCTCTACATGTTTTTGTGTCTTCACCCCATATTTGTATACCGTAGCTATATAATTTTGCTAACTACCTCGGAATACGTCCTTATCTGTTCCTTGGATATATATCCAACAGGACGTAGCATACCAAACAAATTTCTCCATATGAAACGAAAGGAGAATTGTTAATCCGTTCCTATTTAAAAAAAAAAAAAAAAAACTCTTGTATTTGCAAATTATACATTGATGGGGTTGTATAAAATTATTAAACACTGATTAATATCAAAATACAAAAGCAGGTCGATAAAATAAGTGAAACAATTTGAAAAAAAGGAGTTTTTTTTTTTTTTTTGTGTGGATGAGAAGAGTCCAGTACCTACGAGGATGGTGCTGAAAACGGAGGAGGATGAGAGGGAACGTGACATTATCTGGCCACTCCAGACAATGCTATTATATCTTGTTTGGGCTTTGCTGGAGTAGTACTTGACTGTAAACATTTTGACATTCATTCATTTGGGAAACATTTCCTGGATTTAAGAGAGAGAGAGAGAGAGAGAGAGAGAGAGAGAGAGAGAGAGAGAGAGAGAGAGAGAGAGAGAGAGAGAGAGAGAGAGAGAGACAGAGAGAGAGAGAGAGACAGAGAGAGGTAAACAATGGTAGCATGTAATGTCATGACCTGTTTTGACTCATAACAGTTCTAAAATGCGAGTCGTAGCCCCACCCCCCCCCCCCTTTTCCTCCCCGCAAAAAAAGTTGCCAACCAAGCAGCATTTTTCGCATCTAAACAAGACCTATACCAAGTTGGATATATACCAAAATAGGCTATTCTTCGATAAACGGGCATTAAAGATGGCGGCCGCAAAATATCCGTTCGAGCTGATGTCACGTGTCAATTGCGCACTCTCCGCTACTTAATTTACGGTTTTCCGCCAACAACAGCTACCGCCCTGTGGACTGGGGCTAAACTACATGGCTAGGACTCACGAGCAGCAGCTTCCGCATCTCCTGCAGCTTTGCTCGTGAGTCCTTGCGATCTAGTTTAGTCCCAATCCACGCCGCGCGAGCTGCATGGGGGCTACCTGGCGGTGACGATAGTCACCGGAAAACCGCAAATTAAGTAGCCGGAAGTGCGCAATTGACACATGACTGCGGCTCGAACGGATATTTTGCGGCCGCCATCTTTAGTGCCCGTTAATCGAAGGATAGCCCCAAAATAGAAATTTACCTAAGTAAATATAATTCTTTTTGTAACCACATTTCTGATGATTAGAATGCCAGACAAGTTCTTCAGATTATTTTGACGCTTACAGGGGTTTTTCTTTAGTTGCGTGCAACACGGATTTTGATTTGATTGAAGTGGGACAATGGCTAATCCTGAAGAACATGTTCAGCTGTCTGTCTAATCAGTGTAGCTTGGCTTTGCTCTGTAGAATGACAAACCACGTGCTGCATGTTGCATAAAGTATGAACTCCCTAGTTCCATCAAAGATCACTGGGGATCTCTGAAATTATTGCACTCATGAACTGAACAACACCGCAAGTTTCCCTCTACATTTAATCCAAAAAATATAATTATATATATATATATATATATATAGAGAGAGAGAGAGAGAGAGAGAAATGAAGAAGAGTATTATTTACTCTAAATAAAGCCAATTTGATTACGGGATTTTTCATTTTCTTCTGTTTGCAGCCTTAAATGGGTGGTTGGCGTGTTGGTTCACAGCTAGGCTGCGATATTTGTACCTTTTGGCTCAACACATACAATTTCAGCAAATTCATAATTAGTCACCTGTTATGACTTACTCGTTTGGGAGCAGTGGGTCTACCCCGCCCCCGCCCCCACCCCGCGCCCACAAAACAGGGCCCTGGAACCCAAACTGTGAAGATGATATATGTGTTCTGGGGACTGGAAAACAACAATATGCAGTCATGAATCGCGGATAAACAAATGCCGAGTAGGAATCTATTGTGAGGTGTTGAAAGTAACTCAGGTAGAGGAAGCTTGCACATTTGCTTAAGGTTGCATTTGTAAAAACCAGGAAGGCAGGTCAAGTTTACACGGTGGCTTGATGTCACACTCCATTGTTTGTCACAGCTTAGTTCTAATCATGTCAGCTCACCCCGAGATCGTGTCTGTCTCAACAAAAATAAAGTACCTGTGGTTCGACAAAAGTTATGTTTAAGCAGTAACGGTTTCTACTGTTGGCAGGTTTATTTTTCCGCTTTTTACTGTTTAGGGCATTGTTTGTTTCAGTTGTGTGCCTAGTTTATTTGGACAGTACTTTAGTTTACCCACTGAAGGAATTACTTCTATTTTAAGTAGGTTGTTATTTGTCTTAACATCACGTAGCAGGTCCTTAGTAAAACGTCGCTCTCATTTCCGCCTGCGTTTAAGAAGCTTGGACTCTCGCAAGTTTTCCCACCTCATGCGCTTTCTTATCCAAGGTGTCACATATATCCGGTGTCCATTATCTTGCCGGTTGGCCTCTGTCACTCTTTCCTGGAACTTGCCTTCTGTTGCTGTTCTTTCCAATCCATTATGGTAATTGACATGGCAAAAATATTTCAATTTCTGAGACAAGATGCCGTATATTAGCCAAACTTTATTGCTGTTCAGATCTTTTATGATGTCACTATTTCTTTTCTTTTTGTTCCATGAGCAGACGGCTAGTGGTTAGAATGCTAGGCTCTCATATGGGATACTTGGGTTCAAATCCTTGGTAATGTGACGGAAATCTGTTCCTGTCATTGAAGAGTGTGAAGATGGCTGCATGTGTCAATACTGGACCAGTAATTACATTGAAATCACAGGATGTCATAACAGTTGCTTTATTCTAACAATGAACAAAAACAGCAAGGTCAGCAGTCAGTTTCCCTTCTTATTACATGTTTAAAAAGGTCGGGGACAGGAATAAAAATAAACATTCTCAATTGCACACAGTGTGTGGCCACTGCACTGGCCACAAATCTTCAGGTTTAAGACCTCTTCTGTCTACAGCATCTTGTAAAGTAAAAAAATGCAGACAGTAAAGTATTTGTTTAGGCAGACACAGTTAGGTATATGATTTCCCACATGGGTTTCTGAACCCTACTGTCGGGGGGGGGGGGGGGGCAACATTTATAGACCCACTGTGCCCCTAACAAGCGTGTCGTAAGGCAAGACAACTAGTTAGGGGTTTGATGAATTTGGATGAAGTGGGCCACAAAAACAGAGATATTACAGCCTAGCTGTAAACCACAAATCAGTGCGCCAACCACTCATTAGAGGGCAAATGCAGAAGAAGAAAAATAGATTTATGATGACATGATATGATGTTAAAAAGAAATTAATGTCAACTTTTAGAATGAGTAACCGGCACCTCAAATAGAAGAAGGGTTCCATAGAAGAAGTGTTCTGACACTTTGAGTATATTTCTGGCCATAATGAAAAACATGTTTGTGTTTGGGCAGGATCATGTGCCAGGTTTTGTCAAATTGGTGGATGAGATGAAAAAAAAAGGAGTTACTGAAGTTGTCTGTCTGTCTGTCAATGACCCATATGTGATGGCAGCCTGGGGAAATACTCTTGATACAGCTGGCAAAGTAAGACATTTCTTTCATATTTTTCTAACATCTTTGCATAAAATGAAAACGTTTGTTAAGTCTTGTGTATGCCAGAATTTGCAATATGTTATGGATATACATATGATGGCCAATAGGCATACAGTTACACTTATTAAAGACACAGCTCTGTTAACCAGAAGAAAAAAAGGAGTGCATGTCTAAAGTAGTCTCTCCTTTGTAAATGGCCAAGGCTGAAGATGCTTTTAGCTGATCTGTGACTAACTAAAATACAGAAATAGTTGCTTATTTTAGCGGTTAAAGACACAGATGGGAAAATGCGGATTGTAGTAAAAATATTATAGAAGAAAGTAAAAGTTATATATATATATATATAACAGAAAGGAGTTACTCTTAAATTTGACTAGGGAAAATAATTAAACTATGGATGAGGTGGTTTGGTGCAGAAGGAGTGAAATTATACCTTAAAGAACTCAAGATAAAAACTAACCATCTGTAAAACTAGAAATCTGAGAATGGCTGCAAAAAAGCCAGAAGAGATTGGGTGAGAAAAATGCATTAGACAAACTACTGGAACAATACCCATAGCTAAATTCATTGAAAGAACAAAGATAAAATGGTTCGGCCAGCTTGTGAGAATGAACTCAGTGATAACACAGCAAGAGCATGCAACATAAAAATGGAAGCACCAAGAGGCAGAGGGAGAACTGCAAGAAAATTGACTGATGGAGTCTCTGACAGCTTAAGACATCACAGATTCACAGCATACCAAGCAGCAGAGTGTGCTCTAGCTCGTCTACCTATCATTCATTAACCTGTAATATCTAGCGGCAAAAAGCAGAAAATTGAAAAAAGTTCTTAGACTAATGTACCTTTTCATTTATGTTAGACTTCCATTACATTTAGGTATCTCGGTACATGCTGTTTTAATCAAGACTTCTGTTAGGTTTATAGACTTCTATAGATGTTTATTTAAATTAGACTTCTTTTAGACCCATGAATCGCTCAACATGTTTATTTAAATTAGATATTTGTTAGATTCTTGTATCTTGCTTCTCGTTACTTAAACTATCTTTACAAAATCGTGAGCAGTCAGAATGGCAGACAAACTGGCAGAATTAAACATGAAAATGCTAAAATAAGAAGTTAATTGAATAACCTTTACTTGACACTGCAGAACAAATCCTGACATTTTTTAGCTGTTTAGCGTTTTTCTTATTTTAAATTCAGTTGTTTGCTATTGCATTATGAACAATCAGTACTCTATACCATTGTCAAAATCACAGCAAAGTGGTCTGTTGCCAGCCAAATCACCTGCTGCTGGAATTTCAGAATTACAAACTGTATTTGTTCTGCCGAAGCAACAAATGTTAACACAAATACTAAACTAGAAGAACATTTATATTGGCAAAGCCCAACTGAACCAAGCTTATTAGAGTTTTGTGCTTAGAACAAAAAAAGTATGTGTTAACATAAATGCCTCATCTTGAGGGAGAAAATTTATTGGAAAAAGCCTAAGCTTTCAACTGTTCAGAAATGAGCTGTTTTCCTATGCTGTGGTGAATGCCACGCCTCAGAAAAATCATTATGGAGGGAAAACCCTACCCACCATAAAAGAATAGTTTAAGTTGTTGATGTTCATGTTTGCAATCAATAATGTGCTTGGAGGTAACCTTGATTTCTCAGGCACTACATTTTTACTGTTCACTATTTCCTGGAGTGTATTGATTTTTAAAAATAGTGTATAAACAGTTCTCTCTCTTGATGATTACACATGCTTATCTCCACTTTCTTCTTCTCCCTTTTATTCTCAAAATGAGATAACTGTTTTTCTTCATCTTCTCCACCTTCTTGTCCTTCTCCTGCACCACCTTCTCATCACATCCTTCTAGTTCTTTTTCTTCCACTGATGCTGCAGCTGCTTTTGAAGATGTGCCTGGCATGGTGTATACAATATTTGGACAATTTGTACCCTTTCCCTTTGTTCAGTTTTGAAGGTGTTATAGCAGGTTTTTTTTAATCAGTTCATCTTTGTGAACACTTTTTTTTGCTCAGAATTTTTAGTATAAGTCGTTCCCTTGTGGAATGCAATTGTTTATTTTTTTGAAGCCCCAACTCGGTTTGTACCAGGGGCCCTAAATATAGCCGGGCCATAAATATGGCTTAACGGTTGAATAGGGTTTCTGGGACCTCTCCACAGGTGATCCTCATCCGCATGGTGGCACTTCATGTCACCAGATGTTTATCGTTTGTGTGATGTCCTAGTGGGGTACAACTTACTTTTCCTACCTTTAGTTTACTGGAGCTTTCCCCACAGTTTTTTAGCACATGCTTTAATATATAAGTGTTCTAGGAAATATTCTGTTCAACTATCAATATGAAAGTCCTCAATGAACCCGCTGAATTGAGGTCAGTTGCAAAGAAATTGTTTAAATGGGCCCTGACTAAGTAAATAGGCTGTTCTAGAATGTTTGCCTTGACTGAATCTCGAGTTTTCCTTAACTCTTAAGTCCCAAACTATTTTCAGACGTTATTTTTTTAACGAGTGGCATAAGCATGCAGCAAGCTTTCTTTTCAGTGTGTTAATACTCGCCTTAAGAGCGAGTAATAAACCCTGTGGTGTATTTCAGAAAAAAAACTATACAAAATATACAACTATACAAAAGCATTTGACTGTGTGAAGCATGAAGAAGTAATCAGACTGTTAGAAAAATTAAACATTGATGGGAAAGATCTACGAATAATAAAGACGTATTGGCAGCAAACAGCAGCTATAAGAATAGGTACATTTCAAAGCATTAAGAGGGGCGTACGACGAGGATGTGTACTTTCACCTGATTTGTTTTCAATATACAGTGAATATATAATGAGAGCTTTAACTGATATGCGTGGAATTGTGGTTGGTGGGCACAATATAAACAATTTACGTTATGCTGATGACACAGTCTTGATAGCAACAAGTCAGAAAGAACTACAGAAAATGATAGACATTGTGGTGTTAGAGCGTGGAAAATGGGTCTCAGTTTGAATAATGGGAAGACAGAAGTAATGGTGGTATCAAAGAAACGAATTATTCCTTAGTGTGTAATAAAAGTTGATGGTGTCAGTTTAGGACAAGTACCGAAATTTAAGTATCTGGGCACATGGATAACATCAGATGGAAGATGCATAACTGAGATAAGAAACAGAATAGGACAGGCAAAAACTGCATTTTAAAAATGAAAAACATCTTGTGCAATATATCCTTGTCATTGAGAGTTAGAAAAAGAATTCTTGCTTGCTACATACATCCAGTTTTAACATATGGCTGTGAATCCTGGCAGGCCAAACAATTTCTGGAGGCCTCGGAGATTTGGTTTTACAGAAGAATGCTTAGAATACCTTGGACAGCCAAAAAGAGCAACTAAGAGGTTTTGAAAGAGGCGGGAGCCCAAAGACAACTTATCACAGACATCAGAAGGAGACAGTCATCATTTTTCAGCCATGTTATGAGAAGAGGGAAAATAGAACATGTTGTGACCACTGGAAAGATATGTGGAAGGAGAGATAGAGGAAGAAAACGAGAGAAGATGCTTGACAGTCTTGTTGCATGACATGGAGGTGTGTCAGCACACAAACTGATACATGCTGCAGGAGATCGCAGATTATGGAGAGGCATGATCGCCCACGCCAGTCGGCAAGGCACCTGATGATGATGATGGTGTATTTCAAACAAATAGTGGACAGTAATAATAAATAGTAATATAATACATTTTTCTTTTGCATTGGAAAGCGTAAGGAGCGATTACAGTCGTTTCATGCATGCCTCACCACTGTCTTCTAGACTGTTAAACAGTACTCTGTTTACTGTACACAGTAAATGTAAACATTCTGATGTTTGCTGTTCTAGTACATACAAACATTCTTCCATGTTACCATATATCTGTGTGTTCAAGAGATTTGTTTGTCTGGAAAACAACCATCTATTAAAATGATGTACTAAACTATAGAATTATTTCTACAGTATTTATACAAGAAAGGAAACATGTCTTGTCAACTCATGATGATTGTTGCAAAAAGTACAATTAATTCAAGGACACACTTCTAAGCTAACCAGGTTATGCTCCATGTAATATTGATTAGTGTGCCAGCAGGCTACAAGCTTTGAGAAATCAATACTTACATGAGTTGGCAAAAAATTGTCATTTGTTTCTTTATTTTGTTCTTCCACAGATTCGATTTTTGGCAGACACACATGGAGAATTTACTAAAGTTAGTAAGCATGTAAAAGTTGGGTGGTTCTGTAGTTAGTGAATTGGTCTGATAATGGTAATTTTGGCTCCACTCCCAACTTCTGACACTAGACTAATGTGACTCGCCAGTTGGATAAGGTTAATAAAATAAGCAACAACAAAAGTTTCAAAGACAGCAGTCCCATATTAATACTTTCAGTCCCAAGTAACTTTTAACATGTGAGTGGCTTTACCTCATTAAATCCTAACCAACACACAACGTGTTATCACAGCTTGCAGTTGTGGCAACAGGATACTAAAGGATAGCATGCATGTTTGGCCTCTTTTTTGCTTCCCACCTGGTCTGTACATCACGGCTTGCTGTATTTAAAAAGAAATGGTTTCTGCACTGTTTCTCCACTTCCTCTGTTAAAAACTTTGAGTTTCAAAGAAGATATAAGATTCTGCTTCTGGCTCTTATGGTCGCCTTAACCATTGACACATCCTGATAGTGTAGAGTTTTTCTGTTGTTAACTTTCTAGCTTCTCCTTGGTCTACCTGGTGCTGTTTGTCCATGTCCTTTTTTAGTGTATGCCTTGTATGGTATAGCATCACAAGGCATTCTTTCTTAGTGAGCAAATAAACTTTCAAAAAAAATTATGCAGTTTAAAATTGTTAGAGTAATTGTTCTCTATACGGAGCACAAGCAAAATACATTTAAAAATAAATGCCTGAGAAAAATCATGAACATACAGTTGGATGAATTTTAAAAAGAGGTGAGGAAATCAGAGAAATGTCTGGACATATACCTGTGTTGACTGCAATAAGACAAAGAAGGTGGAGATTTAATGGGCACATGCTGAGATGAAATGAGCAAAGAGTTACAAAACAAGCACTAAAATGTGATCCAAAAGGTGAGACAAGAGGACATCCAGGAGAAACATTAGGAAAAACATTATTATAGGAAGCTAAAAATGCTGTGCTGAACTTTATGTCAGACACCGAGAAAGTTTCAGGCAATAGAGAGAAGTGGAGGAGTCTAATATGAGCCTATGCCTAATGGCCCATGAAGAATGACTGACTGACTGACTTTCTACCCCACCAGGACATCACACAAGCGATAAACACCCGTTGACACAATGTGCCACCATGTGGGTGAGGATCACCGTGGAGAGGTCCCAGAAACAGCGTTCAGCCTTTAGGCCATATTTTTGGCCAGGCTGTATTGCAGCCCCTGGCAAGAGCCAGAGTAGGGCTTCAAATAACGAAAAATTTTATCTTAAAAAGGACTGGAAGACTACAAAGAATGATGATGATGAATTGTTCTCTGGTTAGTACCTGCTGAGAAATCTTTCGGGACTGAAAGAGTCAACATTGATCATATTAGTCTGTGTTTGCTGTTCAGTGACTATAAATATAAACGCCACACATAATAAGACCAGATCTAAACACCATTTTTTTTTAAATTTTCAAACACTATATCTTAATAAAGCATATTTCCTAAAACCTATTTTTTCAATTTCCCAACACCATATCTCCTAACAGCAAACCTTCTTACACCATTTTTTTTTTCTGACACCGTTTCTTATTATGTAACACCATTATCTCCTACAAACTTATCTCTGAACACTATTCTAACACAATATATTAAAACGGGGGTGGGTATTCTCGGGGGAAAAAATCCTTAGAAAACCAACTATTTTAAATGTCACCAAAAATTATCTAAAACATAAATATTATAAAAAGTAAGGGAAGTAATCAGTAAATACAAATGCAGCATAGAATCAACTTGGTTACATCTTCTAGGGCATGTAGACTAACCATAGCGTGACACTTACTTGACCAGGTGATTTGGTCGCCTGGTAACCAATGGGGAAACAATGACAAAGAAATGTCTATACCTAAAGCCATTTTCTTAAAGGACCCCTTCACCACCCATGCTATTTTTTTTAGTAAATTGAGTGCTTCACCATGTTTTACTCTTATGTCACGCAATCGTGTAAGTGTCAGGAATGATATACTTTTGGTCCTTATTAGGACGACATTTTTCGTTATTTGAAACCCTACTCTGGCTTTTGCCAGGGGCCTCAATATAGCCTGGCCATAAATATGGCCTAAATGCTGAACGCGGTTTCTGGGACCTCTCCACGGTGATCCTCATCCACATGGTGGCACATTGTGTCATCGGGTGTTTATCACTTGTGTGATGTCCTGGTGAGATAGAGAGTCAGTCTGTCAGTCAGTCAAGTGTCAGGGATTCGTCATTATCCAGTTGACCAGTCCGTACTGCGTTGATGATATCTGCTCTGTCCATGCTTCTTCCCACATGCGTTGCTTGCCATCTAGAGGACAAATCAGGAAGGCAATAGAGATAAAGAAGAAAATAATTGCAGAGAGGTTATGAGCTGATGAGAAGTACATTAAATACATGCAATAGCAAAAACAGTCAGAGAAATACCCCGCTGTAATTGTGGAAGAATTTTTATTATTCCAATGGGTCTTGCCTGGCTCACCTACCAGTTGGGAGATGTGAACCAGCATCACTGCACACGGTTATAAACCATAAGTGCTCTGCCACAAGCATGGACAGCTGATAAGAAACTGTCCGCCTGTACGCAACTCTATAGCTACAGCGACATTCCTCCATTTACCCCACAGTGTTAACTCTGGTGCCCATTACCTAAAGCCTCGGTCAACCCCGGGAACCGTCTGGTTTCTAACACTGGCCGTGGGCTACAGCGAGTTGCAGCTGGATTTGAAAGCTAGTCTCCTATTTACTGCGCTAACGCGGCCCCATATGTTTATCATGATGAATTTATGATGGTTTATCATAAATTCACGGTTGCTATCATTTCTAGATAACATGAGTTTTTTATATTTTTTTATATTGATATCTTCTTCATGTTCACCGGATGTAAACTCCGGTGGAAAGTTCTGATTATTCGTCCACTTCTGGACTGCATCCTGTTCCAGATTCTGAGTGTTGTGTGTGCATCCGTTTGTATGCAGACTGTTAGTTCCTTGCCTCTCAGGCAGATGCACTCCAACTTCGAAGGAAGCTCCCAATTAGTCGACTCTTACAACATGCTTTTGGGTTGGCAGTAAGTCGATTCTCGTTTTCCCTATAAAGGGCACGGGAACCCACACGGGGATATTGATATCATGTTTTGAATGGTTTCTTTTATAATTTGTTGGCGGTGTTGTCATAGATTTAATGTTTTTGACGTGTTCTGACATCTATTTACAGGCACTTGGCATGACTGTTGACCTGTCATCCGTTTTGGGAAATGTCCGCTGTAAACGGTAAGGGTTAACATGTCTGGTCTGGTCTGGTAGTCTTAGTTTCAGCTTCATAGCAACGGGTCGCCCCATCTTTGCTCCGCTCCTGTGCCAACGAAAAACACCCAGAATGTTTATCACAGTCCCTTGTGGAAAGATTGACAGACTGCTGTCTCAGCATATCTAGCATACACTCGCATTAAAGCATCCTTAGCCATCCGAAGTGCTAACACAAACAGTCCAACATTAGAAATGCAGTTCATCATTGATGATTGCAGAACTTGTCGCCAACAGTTCAGCAGTTATCCACGCGATCAATTTTAACCAGATACGGGCACCGCCAACATTGCACAACAGGCATCACGCCATTTTCTGAATCTACAATTCACACCAACACGTTGGTCACAGTCGAAAAAACATTCCAAATGCAATCCGCAGCTTACAGGGTCACGCCATGCATTCAGCTCAGAAGCTGGGCGACAAAACTATATCCAGTCTACAAATGGAGCAAAAATACTTCCGCCACCGTCCGGCAGAAGCAAAAAATTTGCCTCTGCTTCGAACAGCGCCGCTGTCTAGCGTCCATTTTAACCGGAAGCCAAGGGTTAACATGAAATAGCCAAGGCTTACATAAATTATTATACATTACATGAAGTAGTAGAGCCTAAATAAATTAACATAACATACATTAAAGTGGTCAGAGGCTCCATAAATTAATATAAATTATATGAATTAGTCAAAGCCAACATCATTTGATATATACAATACACATAAAATACCAGATCTTATCTGAGAAACTAAAATACTTTGGCCATATCAAATTTCACAGTGGATTGGATAGAACAAAAGGAGGGCATGATACTGGGTTAGGGGCAGGGGCCGACCAGTGCGAAGATAGGGCCACGACGTAAGAAGCATCTTGAGCAAGAAAAAAGAGTGGATACCATGCATCAGTACACCAACATTGCAGGGAATCACATGGATATTCTGTCCGAGGCATGCAGGAGTGCGAGAGAATGAAAGAGCGGATTATCTGGCTACAAAAGCCAAAGCTACAGGAACACTTGTATTGGACAAGGGAGATATTCTGAAGACCATATATGAATGACTGTTGGCAGAAGACACAAAATTAGATGAAATAACATGGACAAGAATGTGTGACGAGGAATTAGGTGTGGATCCGGCAAGGAGGGATGGATGAGAGGAAGAGATTAGTGTGTGTATAATTAGTGTGCTATGGGAACAGTTAGCATCAACACCTTACATCATTTGCTGCAGGAGACGGAGCAACTATAAGTATGCCGGGTGTGGTATGATGTTGATTAATAAATCAGTAATCAGCAAGAAACTTCATGAGGCGGGAAAAGCTGGCGATGAACAGTTTCTTTCAGGCTTGCTGTGGCGGCAGATACGTTCTGTAATGATGATGATAATATACCAGGCACTTATCTAACCCGACAAATACATAAATGGTGACAAATGGACAAATACAAATGTTCCCTGTTTTTTCCTTTGATTTCCAGATTTGTTATGCTTCTGGATGAAGGCAAAGTCAAGTTTGTCAACGTGGAGCCAGATGGAACTAGTCTAACTTGCAGTCGTGGATCTGATATTCTCAAGCTTCTGTAAATCTTTACACTGCACATTGATGACTTTAATTCATGTAGCAGCATCCATTAGGTATTACAGATTGATAGTAAACTTCTAAACATCTTATTTTTGTCATAAGGAAAATGTGTATGTGTAAAATTTCACTGTCTAGTTTCTGAGGCACTTTTATATTTGTTACTTGCATTTACAGGATTGTGTCAGTTGTGAAGCATTTACAGGATTGTGTCAGTTGTGAAGCATTTACAGGATTTTGTCAGTTGTGAATCAATGTTAGTTTGTGGCGTAGTTTTTTTTTTTTTTTTTGTATAGATAGGATATAAATTACTAGTGAGGACACAAAGTGCTTTGTGCATATACCTGCAAGCTTACCCAAGGTTTGTTTCTTTGACATGGCAGGATTTTGAATGTTTTTAGAACCTCACAATTCTAGGTCATTTCTGGACAGTAATAGCTCCTAAAAAAGATGGTTTCTTGACTTGTAAATCTCTAGAACATGTTCTCTGGGCCAATTCCGCTTTTGATTATATTTAGACCAGTTAAGCTTTGAAAGAATTGTTTCTGGACACTAAGTCTAGAGTCAGCCCAGTCTTATATATATATAAAAAAAATTTACCAGAGTTTTACATGAGAAAACAAACAAAAATGTCAACAAGCCTCATCAAGTTTTGATCTAGTATAAATATATATAACAGGCATAACCAGTGACTTCAGAATCTTTTAGCATTTCTACTGTACCATTGGGATCTTACTTTTGTTTTTACCTTAATATTTTGATATTGCTTAAGTGTGCAAGTTGTTCCTATAATTTATACTGTGTAGTAATGCAGGAGAAACTGGGCTTTACTAGTTGTGAGAAAAGCGATACAGTTAAAAAAAAAAGAATTAAATCACGAATTATGTATAATAAAAGACAAGATAAATCAAAGGATAGATGATTTTCAAACTGATTAAATACAAATTAAGAAACTACATTTGAGAACAACAGACTAAGGGACGTGAAACACACCAAAGTATGTGGGCATGGCAGAAAAGGTTTATGAACACGAAGGAAACTAAAGAAATCATTTAAATCCTAGAGGTCAGTGAGAGAACAACTACAGTAAACATACAAACTCTCAACTCAGTATCTGGGTGATGGGCCATTTGGACTCCTGGTAGAGAAGTGGACAATTTGCATCATCAAATCCTGTCCAAAAAACAATTAACATTTTAGACCAAAAGTCCTAATAAACTAAGATGCAATGAGATACAATGTTTTTTTTTGGTGTCAAGAATAAACTGTACTTTTGTCTATTTTCAGAACATATTTTTATATATTTTCTGTTTCTACAATATCATAGCTAACCTGTGTGCAGTAAAAAACTTTATTTTGTTAAAACCTTATTAATATCAACTATTTTTTTTTTACATTAAAGATTCATGCAATATCCAAAAATTGTAAGTGTTGTATTTCTTTTATAGTGTTCCATTATCTATAATTGGAGTGTTGTAAGTAAGTAAACCACCGTTTGCACACCAGTAGTTAGAATACCATGGATAAAGAAGACTTGCATGGCCTGAACATCAAGGAGAACTGGCTCGTAAAAACATCATCCTCTCCCAAAAGTTGGGGGATTTGGCTCATGTCAAGCTACATGGTTGTGCCAAGAGAAGGGTGCTATGTATACCGGGTAAAGTTGGGGGATTTGGCTCATGTCAAGCTACATGGTTGTGCCAAGAGAAGGGTGCTATGTATACCGGGTAAAGTTGGGGGATTTGGCTCATGTCAAGCTACATGGTTGTGCCAAGAGAAGGGTGCTATGTATACCGGGTAAAGTTGGGGGATTTGGCTCATGTCAAGCTACATGGTTGTGCCAAGAGAAGGGTGCTATGTATACCGGGTAAAGTTGGGTGCAGAACATTGAAGATGCACTAGCTGTGAAGGCGCATAAGGCTAGAGAATTGGCTAGAGAAAGAGAGAGGTTTACTCATGCAGTGAAGACAGGGATGTTCTGTAAAGGACATGCTGCTTGATGATGATTTGTACGAGGCATATGTAATGTGTATGTGGCATATGATAAGGTGTATGTGGAATATGATGATGTGTAATTGGCATATGATGATGTGTATATGGCATATGCTGGTACTGAAAGCTGAGATATTTTTGAATGTCAAGTGCCATGTGCTCTGCAGAAAACGCTGACAGAAGACTCAATTTCCAGAAAACGAGGAGAAAGCCAACCTCAGCGATGGTGGATATAGGACATTGTAGATGCCTTACACTATACAAGACAGGGCTATGAATACCAGCATTAGAGAGAAAGTTGGAATAAGACCATGTCTGGATTTTACTGACAGACAAAGAATGAAATGGTTCAGCCATCTAGTGAGAATGCAGCCAGACCAGACTGCATAGGAGACTTTTTTACAGTAGAACATCTGGGAGGAAGGCAAGAGGAAGACCAAGAAATATATGGATATATGTTGTAGATGAAACCTGCAAAAAGTTGAACAAATCAATCACTTAAACCAAATGAGAAGCACAAGACAAATACAGAAAACCACGTCACTTGGTTACAACCTGATAACAATGAGACGACAAAAGAAGAAGAAGAAGATGCATTGACTATGAAAGCACATAGGGCTGGAGAACTAGCTAGAAAAAGAGATACTTTCAGGGGTGTCGTGAAGAGAATGACATTCTGTAAGGGACCTGTTGATTGATTTTTTACTTCCGAGGACTTTACCTGCTATCCACTGATTTGAACTGAAGCCATGGCCGTTTTTACTAAATCTGACTCGTACTCAAGATTTCCAAGCCAATTGGAAGCATTTAGCCGCTACGTTACTGCACCATCCATTAGAATGTTGAGCATAAAGAAATCAAGCTTGTGGTGGTATTTTAGAGTGTCATACATGATTTTGTTGAACCTGATGTGCTGCATAGATGATAGAGCCTAATCCTGGTTTCTTGAAACTGTTGTGCTGCATGGATGATAATAAAAGAGTCACATCCTGGTTTCTTGAAACTGTTGTGCTGCATAGATGATAGAGCCTAATGCTGGTTTCTTGAAACTGTTGTGCTGCATGGATGATAATAAAAGAGTCACATCCTGGTTTCTTGAAACTGTTGTGCTGCATGGATGATAATAAAAGAGTCACATCCTGGTTTCTTGAAACTGTTGTGCTGCATGGATGATAGAGCCATATCCTGGTTTCTTGAAACTGTTGCGCTGCATGGATGATAGAGCCAAATCCTGGTTTCTTGAAACTGTTGCGCTGCATGGATGATAGAGCCATATCCTGGTTTCTTGAAACTGTTGCGCTGCATGGATGATAGAGCCATATCCTGCTTTCTTGAAACTGTTGCGCTGCATGGATGATAGAGCCAAATCCTGGTTTCTTGAAACTGTTGCGCTGCATGGATGATAGAG